AAGCGATAGAGATGTGTAGTGGAGTGCTGTGGATACTTCCTGATGCTCGCAGGCTTTTTGGGTAAGTTCACCTCTAGCAGCCAGCCCCTGTGTTTTCTCCCCCTGCACTCAAATGACAGCAGACATCAACCTCACACACACACACACACACACCATTACTCTTCTATTGTTGTGGCAGAGGCCCTAATGGAGCTTCCCGTTTGAGTGCAGATACAGACACACACACACACACACACACACACACACACACACACACACACACACACACACACACTCCCTGTTTCATAAGTACACACAGGCAGATTGACAGCTCGTCCCTGGGCCACTGCTGCTACGCATGATTGATGGCAATGTTCCGTGGAGAATGCAAGAGGCAGGGCGGCGGTGATTCAGGGACGGGGAGCAGCACAGTTTAGGTACGGAAACACTCCATTGAGTCGTGGAGGAAGAGTACAGAACGTACGCGAGGAGAGGGATGCTGCGCGGCTGTCAGTCAACCAGACAGACACAGAGAGAGAGAGAGAGAGAGAGAGAGAGAGAGAGAGAGAGAGAGAGAGGGAGGGGAGGAAGGGGAGGAGGGGAGGAGGGGTACAGTGTCTTTAATTAAACTTTAAAAACCACAGGAAGGGACATCTTCTATTCACAGGAATTAAAACAAACACCCACTCATTCCTAACACCACACACACACACACACACACACACACACACACACACACACACACACATGTCACTCTCTCCACATACTAACACTCACACACACACACACACACATGTCACTCTCTCCACATACTAACACTCACACACACACACACACACACACACACACACACACACACACACACATGTCACTCTCTCCACATACTAACACTCACACACACACACACACATGTCACTCTCTCCACATTCTCACACACACACACACACACACACATGTCACTCTCTCCACATTCTCACACACACACACACACACACACACACACACACACACACATGTCACTCTCTCCACATACTCACACCTTCCCTCACCAACCCCCCTGAGGAACAAAAAAAAACATCCAAAAATGACAACAATTAAGAAAGCGCTGCAGTGAACTAATTTTGTGCACATCACACCCCGTATCAGACTTCAAGGAAATCAAGTCCCATTAGATCGAGCGCATGTTAACATCTCTATCAGCCTGTACGGTTTACAGTGCAAAGAAAAACAGAACTTACAAACTGAAATTACTGTATGTCCACATTTGCCTCCTACCTTTTTTTGGCCCGTGACCTCAAGTTGACATCCAAAACACATACAGCTTTTTGCTCAAATGAATTTCTTTTTCAATCATGTAAGAGTCTTTTAAGATCAAATTTAGGCTTCTTCATGTATTATCAATGACAGAGGAAGAAAGGCCGGGATGACATTTCTGCACGATGGCCCACACACACCTGTGTTCAATTTATATTAATATACAAGAAGATAGTTTTTATTGATCAATAAATACAAATTTCATGCAACCCCAAATTGGCCCGGGACCCAAAGGTTGGGAATCCCTGCTGTACTGTTTAAAGTCATCCAATCCCAAACCTTCCCTGATAATATCACACAGCTCCACTGAGAGATGAAAAACTCTGTAACCTGTCAATGTCAGTGACCTGCATGTATCTTGTAGGCGATAATCATGATCATGATCTTTGGAACACCAGCCTCTTACCAAAAGAAACCTCAAGTGCTGTACTTTATTTTTTTCTTACTGGATTTGAACGTTGTTGTTTAAATTTGCTTTAACCTGAGGGATGACTTAAAGCTGCACAAGTCGATGTTTCACGTTTGCTACCCCAGCTGGCAGCGACTGCCTACACATGAGAGCTTGAAAGACTTCATTACCCAGAAGCCATGCAGCACGATGACAGCTTATTGCACAACTCTCAGATAGCCCTTTACATGGCTGCTGTTCCGCTCAGGGATTGTGAGATCAGATTTCCTTTCAAACAACTGGGTTGTGCTTTATTACTGTGAGTAGAAAATATAAATCATCCGAAAAGAAAACGCAGAGCCTGAAATTATAAGAAATGTTGTTTTTATTAAAGCTCCTGTGAGGACTTTTGAGCTGGTTATGAAACCGACTGAAACTAAGATTGATGACTTTTTACGACATGAAAACGAGAACAAAGGCCATCCAGTTATACAATTTATGATTTGTATATATTTATTTATGATGCCTGAAACCACCGACGAGGTGTAGGTGTCAAACTAAATGATTAACTTGGCGCTGCTGAAACAACCCTTTTATTACATTTTCCAGGGGAAAGATTTACAGATGGATATATTTTAAACAAACAACATTTTGAACATTGATATGGTAGATATCAAATATAACAACTCTAAATATATCGGTGAGTAAGTCCAACTGCCTCTGGGCTTGTTTATGTTTCACTGAGGGTGCACTCACACTAGGCAATCCATACCATGCCTAATCACGCTTCACCCCTAAAGTCCAGTTCGTTTGACTAGTGTGAGTGCTCCGATCTGTGCACAAGCACGGTACACTTCCTTGGCCCTGGCACTCTTGGAAGAGGTTTGCTTTGCCACGCTACAGTTCATGCATGCTCCCTTGTTAAAGAAATAAGAACCTAATGAACTTTGGGCTGTGTATCTGACTAGTGATCAGTCAGAGAAACGGCGTCACTCAGTGGGAACACTTAGGTCACGGTGGTGGAGGGGAGAGGGAGCGGTGCGCTGAGGGACAGGTTTGCTTTTGGTGTGAGAAAGTGAAACATCAACTAGACATCTCCTCTGAAAGTTGCATTTCATACTTTTAAGACAATACAATCTCTGTTTTTGGAGTGATCTTCACATTGCTAAATGTTCCAGATCTGATGTCGAGTTTTTAAACCAAAAGCTGCCGAGAGAGAGAGCGCTGTCTGAATTAGTACTTTGGCAGGTATATTGGTGAAATTTAGACAATTTGCAGCAGTTAGCCGGCAATTTTTGGTGATTAGATACAAGAAATTACCTCATAATCTGTGCCAATTAGTTCTGTTTTTGACAGCGTGGAATCAAAACAGGTGTCAATATTGTTGACTTTAGGAAATACTCATGATTTCTATTGCATCGTGCTCTTTATCAATCTTTTTATCATCTGAATAAGTTTGCAATCATTTCATATTTGTTGTGTTTCCTTTGGTATATACACTTAGCTGTATTCATAAAACACCAGGCTCAAAATGAGAATAAAAAAAGGGCTGTTAGTGTTAATGCGTTAATCACGATGCAATTAAGGTCAGAAACTGAAGCCTGTTTTTAATCGCATTGATCTCGTGCTATTTCGAACCTAAAGGGCGCACCATATCTAAGCCACCGCACAGACAGCAGCGTCTCCCTGTAGGCTCAGTGATGGATAAGAACGACACCTCTGCGCCTTTGAATGTCTCATTTCACTTGTAAAAATAAAAGCTCCTAGACGGCTCGGTTGACAAGTGAAGAGTAAAATCCACCTCGTGACATCAAACATTTCACTTTCACCATCATTCAGCTGTTTTTCTTTTATTTCTGATCTCTAACAACTTCATTTTTTTTTCTCTGTGGTGAATTCCACCACAAGTTTTTCAAAATAAAAGCAGGTTTGTAGCCAAACAGGAAGTGAAGTGCCCTTAGCTTCAGACAGTACAAAAATACAAAATAAAAGCATAACACACTTTTTTTTCAAATGCAAAATAATGGAATTTTAAAACATGAATAAAAATTAAATTAATTGCAATCGACTTTTGAATTTCATGATTAAAACGTGATTTAAGAAAATGTATTGTTTGACAGCATTAGAAAGAAATACCAAAAGCGTCCACATCGACTAAGTCCATCTTTGTCAAAGCCATCTGCGCCCTGAAGATTTGTCTTTTGAGAGTGGGCCTTACTTGTGTGTTTTATTGCACATACTGACCTTCAAATGGGTTGATAAAATATAAAATACATAATTGATAAAAGTGAGGAAAAAAAAACTGTGAATAATTTCCTCGCTCCTCAATCTTTTTCAATCCTGCAATATTGATTCGTCCCGTGTGCATTTGAAAGCAGCGGGCAGGTTAGCAGATAAAGTGAGCCACGCTGCTGTAGTATGTTCACAAGAGGACACCGTAAACACTTCACAAACACGCGCTCTGACCCTCTCTCTCATCCCGCCATCTCATCCGTTCATTCTCCATTTCTGTCGCCCTTAAGAGGGTCACTGTGAATAATTGAGCCTTTTTACAATGAAATATTGACAATAAAAGAGTGTGTCATGTGCATTCAAATGGCCTTTCAGCCTCTCGTGATGTCACCGTGTTATTAATCATGCATGACACGGAAAGAATGTTTTTTTTTTTCTGCCAGCTTAGGCAGCAAGAGCCACTAGTGTGGACCCCCCCCCCCGCCCTCCCCCCCCGCCCCCCGTGCAGGTTCGAAGGACGGAGCGATTATCAGTCAATGCTTTTTTTTTTGTGTGGAGATTTTCGCTTAAATACATTAATGCACTTATGAAACGTTTTGAGTGGTTGTAACATAAATGTGGGTGGCTGAGCTGCTGTCCTCAAATCGGAGGCAACTGATAAAAGGAAAAGAAGCACAAAGATCTGGCATATGACGACACTGACGACAGATGAAAGAATAACATTTGGGAGTCATCAGAAACATGAGCTACTCCCTTGTCAAAGCAATTTAGTTGCTGTGTAAATGAATGCCCCCGCAAATGTGTTTGTGTCTGTCACTGTAATATTATTTACGCTCGTAGGCTCCTTTGCTCATATCTCTGGGTGCTTGAAAGCAGAGGGGTTTTGCTTGATCATACTTCTTTGAACTTAACTACTTTTTCATCTCGGGAATAAATGTTGAACTGGCATGAAGAACACTCGCGTGGCCATGTCGGGAGCCGCAACTCTGCACGACAAAGTTTGTGTCCTTGCTCTGATTGGTGGAATGAAGACGCTGTGTTTTTTTTGTGTATTCTAAACCTTCCTTTTTTTCTCCTTTATCTTCAGACTATCGCCCACCTCCCATGTTGCCTCCCAGCCGAGGAGGAGGAGGAGGAGGAGGAGGAGGAGGAAGTGTAGGAGGAGGAGGAGGCTCAATCGGCGGCGGCGGCGGTTCCTCCTCTTCATCCACCAGCCGCACCACCACCACTCGTTCACCTCCCTACTACACCACCCCGCGGCCCCTCCTCACCACCTCCCCCGGCCAGCGCTATCGAACCACCACCACGGTCCGCCAGCCCGTCCTGAATCCCGCCGGGGGCTCGTCATCCGACACCAACCAGATCCCCGACACCAACCAGAAAGCCGGAGGACGCTCTCCTCCGGTTCAGGTCCCTCCGGCCGCCGCTCCTCAGCCTCCTGTCCCGCCCCCACAAGACTTCTGCAGTCCGAGGGTGACGGCGGACATATCGTGGCCCCGGACGCAGCAAGGCCAGACTGCCAAGCAGCCGTGCCCTGTGGGGACGCTGGGTAAGAAGTGCAAACTGAACAATGTGAAGTTGGATAACATGTAAAAGAAGGAAACAAATCCATTATTTATCAAACTGAATACACAGATATTTAAGGACCGGGTCGACTTTCAAATCATGAACAGAGTATAAAAACTAAAAAAGTAGAAAGAGACAAACAAACAGGTACAACAACAACAGTTAAAACAAACACACTGGTCACAACAGGTCTGATGTAAGCGTTAACAATCATGATGACGATCATACTGGAAAGACTCATAACATTCATTGTAGCTGTGGTAGTCAACCCTGTACACATCAGAAGTGCAAATATCGTTGCGTTCATTAAATTAATTGGAAGTGAATTTTTCATCTGACCGACCCTGAAGCAAGACAAGCTGAGGGGGAGGGGCTAGTCACCTGGGTACCAATGAAGTTACTGTTCTCACTGCCTCGGAGCTGTTGTCAAAATATAATCTTACTGTCTTCTGTTTTAAAAGTTCATCATGAATATTTGCTGTGGAAATGTCTAAAAGAAAGGCTGCTTCTAATCAGCTCGTCTGACATCTAACCCGGTGGCAGTGGTTTCAGACATTTAAAGTTACAGTACAGAAAAAGTCCATCTCAGTGCGGATGGTTTCTTGTTTGCTTTTGTAGCTCGTAAAGAGGAATCACTTTTAGTATCAGTCTGTTTCATAATTACAACCATCCTCACAGGGGCTTTTAATGACAATGTTTCAAGTGCTTTAAACAAACAATCCAGAGATAGGCACCGTTTCCACCAAGCGGTCCGGTTCAGTCCGGTTCAGTATGGTACACATTTATTGGTGTTACCACTTTCAAAGCTTGAGAGGTACCAAAAATAACTGATCTGTACTGTCCTACTTTGTTGGTACCCTTCTGTTGGGCTGATCCGACCCTAAAGGGCGGAGCTAGACACACTGCAGTCCGTTGATTGGTCGAAAGAATCTTCACTTCCTGTATGACATCGGTAATAAAGTACAAACACAAAACACACCATGTTTATTAAACGTCCTGCAGATCTGGAGAGAGTCTTTTTAAGGCTGTTTCTGGTTTTTTTCTGCCTCAGAGATGAAGACCTTCTTAGGAATCGTTGATCTTTGTTCACTGCGTCACATTGTGTGGAAACGCAAGAAAGATCAGGGTTAACTTTACCAAACTGTACAGAACCAAACCGCACCGCTTGGTGGAAACGGGGGCTAAAGAGAGTTCTCACCTGAATAAAGACGTGTGTCATAACAGGAAATTAACCCAAAAAATAATAATATGTAGGGATGTTAAAGTGTAAATACACACCACATACACACACCTGTGTTAGTGAATTAGCTTACATTACAAAGAGGATTCTTCCCTGTCTTACACACACACACACACACACACACACTGTCACACACACTGCTAAGTGAACCCGAGGCACCTCAAGAGCGCCCATGTCTCCCGGTGAATGTCAGCGCTGTCTCACCCTGTTTGTTTGTGCTTTGTCTCCCAGGCGTGGCCACATACGTGTGCGCGGCCCACGTGGGCTACTGGAATCCCAAAGGCCCCGACCTCAGCAACTGCACGTCACCATGGGTCAACCACATCATGCAGAAAGTAAGTCTGAACGCCGCCGCCGGCTGGCCCTCGTGGCTCCCGTTGAGCCGGAGTCTGAAAAAGCTGAAGCGCCATGGATAACAGTCCTCGAGCCATTTGTCACGCATGAAGACGCGCTGACCACAGGGGAAGATTTAGGCCATGCATCCATCTTCATTCGTTAGCCCTGACTCCTGTAAGAGATCAGAGGGATTATACGTTGTTGGGGGGATGAAAATGTCCAATCAGGTCGTTCACGATTCATGATAAGGACAACAGGCATCATTAGAAGCTTATTTATGTACAGAGACAAAGCTTCTCATAGCATTATGATGTTTGGATCCTTGACTCTTCTTATTCTGGAGATAGCTATCCAAGCTACTTAGAATACCCTACAGTTTCAATATGTGTCTTTGTGTGTATTCTCACATGACGTAATAATATAAAAGTTCCTGATGTGATTATCTTCTCACCTTGATTTCTCTACATCCATATCTCTTATTACATCTGTCATTCCTCTTCCTTTAAACCCCGAACTTACTCTCCACTCCCAACTTCTCCCATCACCTTTAACTCTCATCCCTCTCTCTCTCTATCATTCTTTCACTTTATCCCTCTCTCTCTCTCTCTCTCTCTCTCTCTGTCTCTCTCTCATTCTTTCACTTTATCCCTCTCTCTCTTTCTCTCTCTCTCTATCATTATTTCACTTTATCCCTCTCTCTCTTTCTCTCTCTCTCACACTCTCTCTCTCCCTCTCCCTCTCTCTCTCTCTCTCTATCATTCTTTCACTTTATCCCTCTCTCTCTTTCTCTCTCTTTCTCTCTCTCTCTCACACTCTCTCCCTCTCTCTCTCTCTCTCTCTCTCCCCCCACCCTCTCTCTCTCACAGCTCCGCTCGGGTGAAACAGCGGCGATCGTGGCTCGGGAGCTGGCAGAGCAGACCAAAGGGCTTCTGCGTCCGGGTGACGTGCCGTCCACGGTGCGTGCTATGGCACAGCTCGTGGAGCTTCTGGATGTACAGCTGAGGAACCTCACCCCGGGGGGCAAGGACAGCGCAGCCCGCAGCCTCACTAAGGTACTGCAGCAGCAGCGGGGGGGGGGGGGGGGGGGGCATTTGGGGTCAATGTATGGTTAGTTAAAAGATTTTTCTTGCAGGCAAAGTTCCAAGGAAGAGAAATCGAATGACTTATAAATTAAGAAAAGAGGAGGGGTGATGGAGAGAGACATTAAGAGTAATCACAGTGCAATCACTGTTTTTGTCTAAGACTCATCCTCCTGGGAGTAGAAAAAGCCTCCGCCTGCGGAGTTTGATGGAGAGCCGTTCATGACACTCTCGACTCCAAGATGAAAAATAACTGCTCTTAAACATTATTTCATCCCCTTTTGTATGTTTGTCTTGGTAACTTCTTTTGCTCCTACATTACGGGTGATAGATAACCGCTTTTACTTCTTGGCAGCCGTTCCTCAACTCTTTCTCGAAAAACCCCCTGACTGGAATTTAATAAAACTCCCGCGTCACCCACGGGACCCGTTCTCATTAAACATACAGTGCTTGAGATGAAAACAGGCTCGGGACACTTTTTTTTTTTTTTGACGTCAGAGCTCGTTGTTTAATGAACGTCTGCGCTCTGAGCTGAGGTTGTGAAGATGCTGTCGACAAGCAGGACGGAGTGCTTACTTCAGGGTTACATTAATGGAAACTCGATCCTGAGTATACACAAGGATCTGTTTTTTTACTACTCGGGGTAGAGAAGGAAAGAATTTAGTTCTGTGCTTTGTTCATGAAGGCATTCAATTAAAGTGAGTTAAATTATCAGGGGACGATCTGACTGGATGGGTTTGGCCGCTTAATGACTGACGGACTGGATGCTGGACTGTTTGGTGATTCTTCTTGCTGAGGTCAACAGTAATAGGCGGGGTTTAGCATCCAGATTGACAGCCGGTGCCACCTCTCATACAGTCAGTTTTTGTCCTCTAGCTTTAGCCTCTGAGACACCGAGTCCGCTCCCTTCTCTGCCTCTTTGTGTCTCACTTTAACTCTCCCCCCTTCCCCCCTTTTAAAGTAAGTCATTACTCGAACACTACACAGTGAATATATACTTCAAGCCGTGTAAGTGTAATCAATTCGTGTTT